TATATGTATGTATGTATATGTATGTATATGTATATGTATATATATGTATATGTATATGTATGTATATGTATATATATATGTATATGTATATATATGTATGTATATATATATGTATGTATATGTATGTATATGTATATATATGTATATATATGTATATGTATATATATATGTATGTATATGTATGTATATATATGTATGTATATGTATATATATGTATATATATATGTATGTATATATATGTATGTATATATGTATATATGTATATATATGTATGTATATATGTATATATGTATATATATATGTATATATATGTATATATATATGTATATATGTATATATATATGTATATATATATGTATATATGTATATATATGACAGTCGGCAATATAAACTTCAACACCCCCTCGAATCGGTTATAGACGGGCCTGGAGTTTGAATCACAGCGATGGTTGATCGAAACGAGTTCCGCACCGTAAAATATCCTTAGGGGTTAACGGATAATGGGTTAGAGTGCCCTTGCAGATCAGGCTGACCGTCGAAGTTTCGTAGTCTTCCTCTCCATGTAACGCACGGATTAGTCACGTCAAAATGTCCTCCACGAAGGCAAATTTCTCCTTCTTAAATTAAGGATGAGACTTATTTTTAAATTTTAAAATATTTAAAAAAAAAATTTTTAAGCTCAATTTATTAATTTAAAAACAAGCTTTACAAATAAATATAATTTCTAATATTAATCAGACGCGTAAGTGTTTTCAGTTTCCGGAAGCAGATAAATTAGACCGATTAATTTTTTTGTTCCTTCTCAAAATATAATTAATTTAAACTGGAAAAATTCAGCACATTTTGACCTGCATTGCGAAATTTGTATTTCATAAGCTTTTGTTTATTTTAAATGGTACAATATTTCATAAACTCAGCGATTTAATCAAATTTCATTTGATTTGGTTAAATTTCATAGCATATTTATACTTAACATGGTTCTGACACGTGATGTTTTAAATCGCATTTAGAATTGTTCTTTACCAACTCATTCAATGATTTGACTTTTTTTTACAAGTTCTCGTGAAAAGAACTTGTAAAAAAAAAATTATGAAGTGCACTATCCCAAAAATAGTCGCTTAAAATTAAACAAAGAATGACCTCGTTTAATTTTAGTAAATATTTTTTTTATTTTATTTAATAATTTTTGGAATTGTAAGATATAATTTTTTTTTAACCTCATTTTAACAAATGTAATTTTTTAATAGCGAAATTTAAGTATTTCCTAAATATTTTGATTAAAAATTAATGTTTTCTGTTTAGTAGGTAATGGCTGAAAAAGAAAGCAGCCACCATGAATCACCAGTTCATTCAACCAAGGCAAAAATGTTTAAATGTAATATTTGTGACAAGGAGTTTTCCGAGAAAAGTAATTTAAAAAGACACAAAAGAACTCATTCTGGTGAAAAAAATTATGTTTGTGAAGTATGCGGTAAGATTTTCGCTAGACCAGATGATTTAGCAACTCATCGCAGGACTCATACTGGTGAAAAACCTTTTTCCTGCGATGAGTGCAACCAAAGTTATTCTCACAAGCAAAACTTAAGGAGACATTGTCTTAAACATCATAAGTAGAAACTTCACGGGACTTCAACTGAATAATAAAAGAAAATGTTTCCTTTTAAGCGTTTCGTATGTTAGTAATTTTTAAAAAACTTGCATTTTATTTTCGCAATATGGCAACATTGTTTTAGCAACCGTGTGTTTTGATTCATCAGTATGTGTTTGATCAGTATGTGTCCTACAGGCCTATATCTTTAACCAGCATCCTCTGCAAAACTATGGAAAGAATTGTTCTCAAACGCTTGGTTGCGCACCTCGAACACCAAAACTCTCTCCACCCTTATCTACACGGATTTCTTCCTCGTCGTGGATGCGACAGTCTCCTTTCGACTCTAGATCATCATATTCGCTTTGCAAAAGCGAACCACTTCTTTACAGTCGGAATCTCCCTGGATATCGTCCAGGCCTATGATAACGTCTGGGCAGATGGCCTTGCATACAAACTATTACAACATAACATCAGGGGATCTCCTCATAAGTGGATATGTGACTTCGTCACGGATAGATCCTTTCGAGTGCGCTGGAGGCATACATACTCAAGGGCTTTTAGCAGCAGCAAAGGCGTTCCACAAGGATCAGTGCTATCGCCTCTCCTCTTCATCTTATATATAAATGACATCTTTGATATCCTTCCTGACGGCGTCAATTGTTTTATCTACGCAGACGATATATTCCTCCTAATCTATTCCCCGAACCTGCCGTCTCTAACCCGCAAACTTCAGCTATCCCTTCTACGTCTACAAAAGTGGTTAACAGAATGGCACCTTTCTGCAGACATTGGGAAATGTCGAGCAATAGATTTCTCCTATAGAGCCATCGAATCCCTTCCCACCCTGCACTTCCAGGGAGAAACCATCATATGGACGCCACATATCCGCATTCTAGGGGTTTACTTTNCATCATATGGACGCCGCATATCCGCATTCTAGGGGTTTACTTTTCATCGAACCTGAGCTACCGCCATCATTTTCAGGAAAAAAGAATCTCCACACTAAAAAAGCTTAACATACTAAAATGTATATCAAGAAACTCCTGGGGCGCACGCTCCTTCCATTTACTCCGAATTGTCCAGTCATACATTACGCCTACGCTCGATTTCGGCTGTCACCTGCACTCCCTCGCCAGCAAAAGTGAACGCAAGATACTTGACACGGTGTACCATGCCGCCTTGCGGATAGCTACGGGCCTTCCGAAGTGGACTCCACTACCGCTACTTTACCAGGAGGCAGGCTGTACGAATCTCCAAGAACGGCATAACATGATCTCCACGCGGTTTTATATCAGACAAATCTATTATCAGTCACTAAGTGCAATAACGTACCAGAATCTGCACATTCCGAATACCTACAGGAAATCAGCTCTCCCCTTACAAGCAAAAATCTGGCTAAATAATCACGGCATAACCATAAATCATATGATTAAAATGCACCATCGGACTCCGAAAATACCCTCAAAAGTCCATATACATCTCACAAATCTCCCCTATCAAAACAAGAATCTACCACCGAACTTAATACCTACTATATTCTGGGACTTCGTCTGCAATAATTGGCCACACCACACTCTGATCTATACAGATGCCTCCCGAATACCAGACAAGGCAGGAGTGGCAATATACAACTCCTGCTCCGGGTCAGCCATGTCCGGATCCGTTCCACCCATTTGCTCGGTCTTCACAGCAGAGGGAATAGCTATAATATTAGCACTTCAAAAATGCCCTACAAGTTCCCGAATTATAATTTTTACAGACTCACTCTCTGACCTGACAGCACTAAATTCTGCTACAGACTCTCCGCAAGGAATCATACACCAAATCATTGTCTCGATGGAAGAGCTCCCATCCTCATGCCAGTCTGTAGACATAGCATGGGTTCCTGGGCACTCCGGGATACTCGGCAATGAAATCGCTGACGCGTTGGCAAAAGCAGCGCTCCCCAGACCGAGAATTTACGATAGATTTACCGTTGAAGATACTTATCAATCAATTAAACGAATCCACCAACTATCCAGGCAATCAGCATTTAAGCATAGCAAATACTATACTGATTTTCTTCATTTGAGCCAAAATAAAAACGAACTTCTACCCCTTTCCAGCAGGCTCCAAGATGTTACGTTCTCCAGAATCCGTACTAGATCCTATCCAACCAAATCAAAGTTATTCCGCTTTGGACTCGCTCCAGACAACAAATGCAACTGTGGTTCCATCTCCGATATCGATCACATTATTCTGGAATGCCCTCTCTTTGATCAACAGCGCACCACCCTAAAAATACTGCTTGGACCTGGGGCATTGTCGTTCTCATACCTTATGGAAACAACGGATAAATGCAAGCTACAATATCTTATACATTACCTAAAATCTATCCGCATACTATAATCATCCACCTATCTCCACCACCTTGGATATAAGCGAGCTATAAGCTGGAAATTGCAAAAAGCTCCAAAACTGATCGTCGATAATCATCATCAGTATGTGTTTGTTGAATGTGTACCGTGTGTTTGCTCTATATTTACACAAACATGGGTAAAAAGATTATGCAAAATCAGATTGAAAAATTGGTGTCTTTTATGGAGCAACACCCAGAATTCTATAAAGGTGAACTCACTACGAAATTCACGAATAAAGATAAAGAAAGGATGTGGCTGGCATTGCAGTTGGTACTGCACGCTATCGGAAGCTGCCATAAAACTGTGGAGAAATGGAAAGAAGTAAGTACTTTTTGTAGAATATGAAAATGTTCTTGTTCTCTCTAACTTAATCTTCTTTTAACATGTGGCTACAAGCGTGTTCAGTTTTTTACTTTCCTTTTTATAAGGTTCCCAAAAATATGTACTGGAACAGTTGGTGCAGAACATACTGAATATATTTTTTGTAGTGTTATATAT